CCACCCACCACCACCACCACCACTGGTCCTGCCTGCGATAAGTGGCTGACGTGCAACGAAACGTCGTTCTGTATCGCAGCGCGTAAAATACGAACGGAATAAATATCTTTTTCCCGGCGTCCCGACGCCCAAGCCCAGGAACGTCGGGACGCCGGCGCTCGTGGTTGATGAAAAACAAATGAAAAAATTGATGCAGCCAGCGGCTACTAATGGAGAGGAGATACTTGTCAGGATCGAATCAGGCCGTAAGTCCTCGTTAAGCTTATCAGTGTATCGATGGGTCATTCAATAGGTCAATTAATTTTCCACATACGATGGGTATTGGTCCATTATACATATGTATATATAGGTATCTGGGAAAATTGATAAAATCCAAAGACATTTATGTGTTTGCGAAAATGTCACTCATAATGGACTTATTGGTCCTCGGCGCAGCATCCGCATCCCCTATGGCTCGTGGCTATAGAGCGAGAGAGAAGATGTTTTATGTGACAAGAGCGATGGACAGTGGTTGGCCGGAAGTGACGTCTCTACTTTTTTCCTCCCTACGTGACACTTCTCCCCTATACTCCCCACTTCCCTCCATCACCCTTCACCCAACATTGAAGTTTGCCAATTTTATATCCCATCGTCTGCCACTTCCGGGGAATATCTTCATCTTTTTTTTTCTTCTTCTTTTTTTCCGGAAACCTTCGACTCCGCAGGGCTGAACTTAACCTCGTAAAGAAGACTTTACTACGCTCGTTCTCTTATAAATAACTCATTTAGATTTACGATTTGCTCGTTAGGGGGCGAGCATCGTATATTCTCCGTAGGAGGTCATCGATATTACATAGGTGTCATTTGTCATATTTTACACGCGATTGGAGTATCGGATTTGTCGTGATTAGAATTTCTCGTTCGTTCGATTTCTAGAGATTTTTGAAATAATTTTGTATCAGGGGTCGATAGCGCTTCAAATCGTGTTTACCAGCGACTTGGAACTTCGCGGGTAACTGTACTGCACGACCATATGAGATACAATGACAGTCGGTACAGTAGGGATCTGTTGGTCATTCGAGAGGAAAGGCAGGATTCGCAAGGACTTGATCCAATGAGGATTTTCGGTTTTGGTGTTGGGAGTTTAATTAGATTTAATTGATCTTAATGATAAGTTAGAAGCGCTAGTAAGGAAAGTTAGAGGCCACGAGAAAATGCTAAACGGCCGAATGTCTGCAGAGATTGAAAAGGTAAGGTCGCAGACCATAAATATGTATATAGGTATATATGTCCTAAGTAAACGCATGGAGTAGAAAATTACGAGAGCGCCTCGAGGACTGTAGTTTCGGTTCTACACGGGACTCGACTGTCTTTCGGCACGAGGAGCACGAGGAGTATGACAGCCTATTAGGTCGGTTTTGTCCTGTGTTTCCCGAGGATCCCTTTCCGAACTCCGCGCGGGTCTGAGATCTTCCTAAGAATAAGAGGGGCCACCCTGTGACGGCATCCAACTCAACTTCCAGTTCCTCGTGGGACATTGAATTTTCCACGAGATGGAAAGCTGGAAGGAGATAGAAAGAGATAGAGCCAGTGAATTTTAGTGAAGAGTGTAGGCAGGTTACTTTGGTGGTTAGGAAAGGTGGGGGGTGGAAAAATGAAAGAAAAACGATGGGATGAAATTAATGGTAAAAGGGGTGAAGTTTGTTCTTAATGTGCGAGACATCCCGCATAGCAACATCCATGCCGTCAATTTTTGCGGTTAAATTAGACACAAGAGTACTAAGTGAAGCAAGTTGCGCAGAAATATTCGTTGTACTAGCGGATGACGTAGGAATTGTGGCACTCGGCGTCTGATAAGTAAAGCCAGCATTTTTAGCGCACGCAAAACAGTTAATGACTTTCAAATCCGGAAGAGTATCAACACGTAACTGTTTCAACAGACACGCAGGATGAAATCCATGGGTAGCAATAGCACATAATCTACATAATTCCTCAGTTGCAACAAATCTAGAGCAGAGCCCACAGTTGACGGGTGGCATCTTGAACTCGCGCACACAGCTACACTAACGTAAGAGATTGGTATCCTATGATATTGCGGTATAGGAGTGAGCACACCTGAGCGAACAGGCCAGCGGAGCGCAAGTAGATGGAGGGGATGACCAAACGTTATTGTCACTAGAAGATCACTGTGGTTGAAGATAGAGCTTAAGGCTCTAGTGATAATGACAACAGGAACAAACAGACAGCGTTGACCCGGTAGAATGTAGAAGGTTGTACAGGTGACGAAATCCACAAGTATTCACCAATCACTGTAGTCTGCATACCATGCCCGGGACAACCAATCAGTGCGATGATACGCGAACAAAGAAGCCGCCAAGTAGTTGAGACGTCGTGAAGAATTGTAGAGGTTAGAAAAAGCAGCCTCAGATAAAATGCTTCCAAAACCGTGACTTAATTATGAGAGCCCTGCCGTATTAGCTCAAACAGTGCCAGAGCCACGGAGGAAGCCGAAGAAACTGCAACAAACGCCCAGAGGGCAGAGAACAGCAGAAAATTTCCAAAAAGGTAGAGAGCAATTTGACAGGCGTGCAAGTCTACTTACAGAGAGAGAGAGAGAGGGAGGGCAGGGAGGACGGGTAAGAAGAAACTCAGAGAGAGAGAGAGAGAGGTATATATACCGGGTAAAACAATAGAACTTTACACGAGGCAGTTGGCTTCCTTCTTGCAGTTTCCCTTGGCTTCCGTTTACACCGGTCTCAAAGTTCCGTTCGCGAGACGCCTTCGTACTTCCGTAAGAAAATTTCAAATTTCTATAAAGAAACAACTAGCTTGAAGTTTCAAATTACTTTAAAAGTAAAAAAAAAGAGAGGATGGATCCCTTTTGAAATTTTCTCTGATACCACCGTCTGATCGCGATAACAAGTAACTTGATATATGCGGATGACGATCGATAACGTGGAAAATTAATAGCAGCGAATTCTGCCCGAAAATCCAAGCATCCGGTTCCCCAATTAGTAGCGAAATTACGCGAGTTGCGCAATCGAAATTGTCAATCGATGCGGGATCGTCTTCTACCTTGGATATAATTCCGAGGAATTTCTCGCTGGACCGTGGAAGCTGCGGATCTTGGGGCTCTTATTGCACAAAGCAAAGTTGCGGTAAGCGCGGTAAACGCAAGCGGTTTTGCATGCTGCTCGTAATGAAATGAGAGTGTCAGAGGTGCAACTGAAAGCAGGGAGAAAGAGAGAGAGAGAGAGAGAGAGAGAGGAGAGAGGAGAGTAACTAGGCACTAATTCAGTGAGACGATATACGGCAGGCTCCGTTAGGTGGCTCTAGGATAGAGGGAGACAGAGATAGGGAGCAGTCCCTTGGTTAAAGCTAGACGGAAATGGCTGCCGAGAGAGAAGGATGGAAATTCATGTTCGATGGCGGCCGAGAACAAGTTTGTTCAACCGTGCACAAGAGACTGGTCCAGCCTCTGCTTTGGTACCTTGCACCCTACCGAGGGAATTGGTTCGGATCGCTTTAGATGCATAAGAAAAGAAAAAAGGTCAAAAGGCATGTACATTCGTTATACTTACCAATTTAGGCTTGTCAGATAATATTCGAGTGGTTATTATTATTATATGAATAGATAACTTTTTTTTGTCCCTCATGGAATATATGAAAGGCAGGTTTTTTTTTTTATTACGTGAGTACAGTAAATATTGAGTTTTGCCGTTTTACAACAGATGTTTGTATTGAAGACGCGTCAATTTTTCAGATCGCAATGCCAGTCGGTATGATAATACACGGGTGAATAAATATTCTTGTGCAAATAAATGTTTCGCACGTAGGAAAATTCGTTTGAGAGTACGCGAGCTTT